TCTAATATTCTCTGCATAAATGGAAAATAAATATTGTAATGAAAATGGAACCACAAAAGATGAAAAGGAAAAATTCCAATGGTACCTGAAATCAGCGGGAGAAAATAGTTTATTCTTGGAAATTATTATTTTTTTTTTGGAATTGGAACAATAAAAGATGAAGAGAAAGCACTTCAATGGTACTTGAAATCAGCTGAAGGAGGAAATAGTAATGCAATGTTTAATCTCGGATATTGTTATTTAAATGGAATTGGAACAACAGAAGATGAAAAGAAAGCATTTCAATGGTTCTTGAAATCAGCCGAAGGAGAGAATTGTGATGGGCAGTGTAATCTTGGGTACTGTTATTTAAATGGAATTGGAACCACAAAAAATGAAAGGAATGGTATTTGAAATCAGAAGTAGAGAATAGTAATGCAATGTTTAATCTTGGAAATTGTTATTCTTTTGAAATTGGAACAACAAAAGATAAAGAGAAAACACTTCAATGGTACTTGAAATCAGCTGAAAGAGGGAATAGTAATGGACATTTAAGTCTTGGATATTTTTATCAGAATGGAATCGGGACTACAAAAGATGAAAAGAAAGCATTCCAATGGTACTTGAAAACAGCTGAAGGAGTGAACAGCATAATATTGGATCTTGTTATCTGAATGGAATTGGAACCACGAAAGATGGTAAGAAAGCAGTTCAAAATCAGCTGAAGGGGAAAATGATGAAGCCAAAAATGTTATTGAAGCGTGCTAAAGAACGGAATTTGAAATCTCAACAATTGGAAAAAATCAAAATAAATTAAAGCATCGAAAAGATATTAGTTTAACACTTTCTAAATCATCCACTAAAATTTTAAACAGTATTGAAGATTTAAATGCTAATAATTACAGCTGCTGCATTTGTCGGCAAAAAAATGGTTGCATTGAAATCTGCAAAAGTTATTTTCAGGATTTTGGTCGATGTCATAATTGTGGAAATTTAAATATAAGAAAAAATTCATGTAAGTATTGTAAAGATATTGAATATGCCTGTATGAAAAGATTTTGGGGAGATGATATTATGCCAATGATTCAAATTGCAGAGTTAGGTGAAAATGAATGGGAAATTTGGAGATGGATAGATTATAATAAATTGAAAAATATTGAATATTTGTTTGGAAAGCAGAATGGATATATATGCCTGAAGAATTATTTGAAATTTGTAATTCCAATCAAGTTGCATTGAAATTGCTTACAGATTCAAAAGAAATAGACCATAAATTTGAAAAAGAGGTAAATATTAAATACATTAAAAATGTTTTTTTTTGTATTATACATGTTAATATAATCATTTTAATTTTATAAATATAGTTAATGGCAAATTTCCGCTGTTGTTCCAAATTTGTTCTGCCAATTTTGGGTATTACTCAAAATCCAATGACAAAAAAATATGCAATAGTTTTGCGATATATGAAAAATGGAAATTTAAGAAATTTTCTTAAACAAAATAAAACATTATCATGGAAGGAACGATTATGTCTTTAATTCAAGGATTATCAGCTATTCATACTCAGAGATATTCATAGTGATCTTAAAATTAGAAGATTTAGGATTTTGTAGATCTGTATATGATCTATTTTGAATCAAGGCAATTCACATCATCTAGAATATACGGTGTATTACCATATATTTCACCTGAGGTATTGAATAAAAATCTATATACACAAGCTTCTGATATATACAGTGTTGGAATTATTATGTAGGTGATATCAACAGGAAAGATTCCATTTTCTGACAGAGCATATAATTTAGAATTAACTTTGGAAATTCTTGAAGGACTTCGACCAAAGATTAAAAAAGGCACACCACAATGTTATGTGGAATTGATGAAAAAATGTTGCGAAAAGATTTATCCGATCGTCCGAGTTTAAAAGGAATTTTTGAACAAGTGAATAAATGGACTATTGATTTGACGAAAAATGCACAAACCAAAGATTCACTTATGTTTTTAAACGCAGATCGAGAAATGAAGAGTGAAGAATTTCAATTATCAGAATTATCATCAAATGAAACTGTTCATCCTGAAGCATCTCTTATAAGCAAACCTTTGCCTCCTTTACAAAATTTAACTTTAGATCTTAACAAATTTTTTGAAGATGTTTGAAAATCAGTTTATATGATGAGACTAAATATATTATTTATTATCTTTTAATAATTATTTAAATTTTCATCTTATCAGTTATGATTTTTTTAATTATTAAATAAATATAAAAATATTAACTCAAAAATAGATTACAATCTTTATTGTATTTTTTTTCTCTCTATTTAATTTTATTGTGAGTGTAAGTGCAATGATTGAATGTACAAAATTATTTGCTCATTTGATTTTTCATCGAGATTAGTTAAATCAAAAAAAAAAAAAGAATCGCGAGTGAAATAATATATATATATATTTTTTTTGAATATGTACCGTAATCCGCTGCAAAAAGCTACAGGGATACTTTACATAGATTTACTATTTAAAGATCCTATACGTATGCATTGAAATATATTGAATTTTATGAGGGTATCTTTTAAAGGGATTTTGCCCCAGCGGATACTTTGTGTGGCAGCAATTATAAATAAAAAAGTGAAAGAGCCCGATGGTTAAAAAAAAATTTATCAATTAACTGACTGTTAACAATGTAAAAATTTGTCAAATGAGAAATTGTTTCGTTTATTTATCCGAGGCATCAAATGATCACATGAAATTTTGGAGAATTCAGTGATAGCGGTAATTTTAAAATTGAAATAAAATAATTAGAAGGTTATCGATAACAACTTATCCGCAATGGTCTAGTGGCTAGGATTCCGCGCTTTCACCGCGGCGGCCGGGGTTCGATTCCCCGTTGCGGAAACATTAGATTTTTTTTTATGTCATTATCAGTTATTTATTTATTCATTTGTTTATTTAATTTATTCATTAATTTATTATTTATTTACGTAAATAATTAATTTATTTTAATAATAATAATAGCAATAAAGAATAAAACCGCTTTTACTCGCACTAATGACTTTCTAACACATTTATACGTGTACACCACATTACATTACACATACCCACACATTACACACACACACGCACAACAACACTAAAACGTTTTTAATAATTCATGGCACAAGATGGATTCAGAAATTAGCCTCAAATAATAATGACAGATTTGGACTTTTTTATTTGTTTTATATATTTACATACTTATATATTTACATACATAATTTATATATACTTATTACTTTTATATTTGATAAATGGATGTTATTTTATTTATTTACTGTTTTCTAAACAAAACATAAACAAAACTAAAAAAGAACATCTGATATATGAAACTTTGTGTAATACTTTAAAAAAGTTAGAAACAAAGAAAGAATGTAAACAGTAAGTCACGAGAAATTGGAATTCCATTTTTATTTATTGAATTTTTATTGTTTGAATTTTTTTTGAATTTTATTGTTTGAATTTTATTCCATTTTATTTTACTTGAATTTTATTGTTTGAACTTAAATTTTATTTGAATTTAGTTATGCATCGTCAAAATAATAATAATAGTTAATTCTTTAAAAGAGAAAATAAATGAAATATACGATGTTTTTTTAAAACTTGAAAGCTAACGAATGAGTGGATTATCGAACTAACGAACTAAAGAATGAATGAATTAACCTAACGAATGAAATGAAATGTAACAATGTAAAGCATGAAATGCACGAAAACCTTGGATGAAAATTGAAGGTAATAAATGTGGTTAGTCCCGTATTAATTAAAAATATTTAAAATATTACCCTTCACTATTTATTATTATTTATTTTATAATAATTATATTTATAATAAATAATATAATTGTTATTGTTCTTTATAAATGTATTTCTATTACGATTGATTGATTATTATTATTCTAACAATAATGTTAATATTATTCTAACAATAATATTAATATTATTATAATAATAATAATATTATTATTTTAAATAATAATAATGATATTAAATGTTATTTATTATCCTATTATTGTCTATTATTTTATTTTGCTTTTTTCATTGGTGCATTATGACAATATTTTTTAACTTAATTATTCATATTTTTTCACAATTCAATTCATCTTTTTCACAATTCAATTTATCTTTTTCACAATTCAATTCATCTTTTTCACATCTCTTATTCATCATTTAAAAAGAATGTTTGGAATTTAATTAAACGGATAATAATATTAAACCAAGTTTTTCGTGTTAATTTAATTTATTTTTTTTTTTGACAAAAAAAAAAAATCTCAATTAATATTAACCAATTTTATTAAATTAAACAATAAATAACCAATTAATCAATTGATTAAAAACTTTTGTCAAACTAAAAATTTAATCATTCAAATTAAACACCACACCAAATAATTCTATCGTAATCGATAATTTAACTAATTCATTACTAAAATTAATACTTAATCAGTACTAAATAATGTTTTAAATAAATATTCTAACTAATTTAACTTTAATTAAATACTAACTAATTTAACTTTAATTAAAATTCTAACTAATTTAACTTTATTTAAATTTTTTAAGCATATATTCTTATTGAAAAAATAAAATAAAATATTATCTGATAATTAAATATTTAAATCTAACTATTATTCAATTCTTTTTTTTTTATAATGCTATTTATTATGTATATTATTTTTTCCAAAAGTGGGAGTGACCACGTTGTTATATTATTATATAATTGTAATTTATTGTTAACTGTAATTCTGTTCTTATTTATTATCATGTTAAATTATTTAAATTACAGTATGTATTAGATAAAAATCTGTCAATTTTTAAAATAATAAATATAATAAATAAATGTAATATACAGTATATAAAAAACAATAACGGATAATATAAATAAATAAATTTAACAGAATAAATGAAATTACAAAAAAAAAAATATATATAAAGTGGTGCTAGTGTTATCATTCATACTCTTATCTGTTTATGTTGTTTCTCATTTATACATTCTCATTTAATTCCATTTTATTATTTAACAACGACGCACGAACTGCACGCACTGCACTGCGCTTACTACGCATACGCATAGCATACATGTACTAAATAAAGAATTTGATCATTAAATAATATTTTTTTGGGAAGAAATGAAGAAAATGGCGCGCAAATATACGAAAAACTTTGCTTTTCGCTTGATATCTAATACTGTACAAACTGTATAAACTGTATAAACTGTACGATGATGATGATTATTATTCTCCATTTGTATACTCATATATATCGTGTATATATATCAACGTATATCATCTTATAGGCCGTGCGAAAACTCGGGTTATAATAATTATGCCATTATTATTAATTGATAAAATAATAAAGTTTGTATCACTTCCTTTTTTTTTTTTACTTTGCATTTACATTTTTTAAAAAAAAAATCACTTTATTATTTATTATGATTGTTTATAAGAAATAAATAATAATAACAACAACAGCAGATTAATAAATAATAATAATAATAAAGCTGTTTATTTTTTTTATATTGGGGTTAAAAAATTCAATTTGGGCGTTTACATTACATATTATGTATATGTAATTACATACCAATATCATCATCATCATCATCATTTACTTTTATACTATGAACTTTCAACGATTTCCTCTCAGAGAACATAACAAACTCATAATAAAAAGGCAAACTTAAATGATTGTGTTGCGTTAATCATTCGTTCATTCATATTACTACTTTTAAAAACTTTCCTCGCTTTTTCTCTTTTCTCTTGTTATAATCATAAATAAACTTTATATATATGGTTATAATCATTAACTGTTATAATCATCATTATTAACGTTGGCGTTGTTATTATTTATTTATTTATGCTATTTATTCTATTTATTCTATTTATATTATTTACTAAAGGTGTATACCGTTATTTTATATATATATATATATTCTGTGTGTGTTAAATAAATATTAAATAAATAAAAATTAAAATAAATAACATAAATAAATAAGATTAAATAAATAAACGTTACTAATTATGTAAAATTTTACATTGATACTAATAACAATTAAGTAGGAAAGTGTGTAAAATGTGTGAAAAGCATGATGATATTAACAATTACCAACAATTAAGTAAATGTGCATATACTAAAATGTGTTACTGTAATAAGTTAAAATTTTTTAAAACCTTCCTATAGGAAATTTTTAATTATTTTATTTTTATTTTTTTATTAAGTACTGTGTACGCCTTGTACGATATGCTATGCATGCATGTTATCGTAATATTTATTCATTAATATTTATAACTATATATTTACTTAAACTATATATTTACTTAACTATATATTTACCCAACTATATATTTACCCAACTATATATTTACCTTATTTATACTTTTACAATAAATCTTAAAATATACATTTTTTCAACGCACAAAAACCATCCACTACCTATCCTCATTCACCGCCTCCCTCCTTTCTTCCCTTCCTCGTTTCAAAAAAAACCAAAAAAAACTTGAATTTTCTTATTTTTTATTCTATTTATTGTATAACGTGTGTATTACAATAAAAAATACGATAGGTATAGGTAATGGTGAGAAGTAAAAATAGTAAGTAGTAAAAATAAATATTATTAACAACTAAGTAGTATTATTATAAATATGTTAACAGAATAGTAAGTAGTAAAAATAAATATTATTAACAACTAAGTAGTATTATTATAAATATGTTAACAGAACGGAATTAAGCAGTATATTATAAACAAGCAATATTTTAAACTGAATAATTACTGTAATAAGCAAAGTTCGTATATCTCGGCAAAGTCCATTTTTATTTTTCCCCAATCGTTTTTTTTTTATTATTTACAAAGCGTCATTTTATTTTATTTTGTCGTTTAATCATTTTCACATTCTCACTCGCATATAACGTATAACATATATGTATGTATATATGAAGAGAATTTATTAAACGTATATAGAGTAAAGTACTTCCAAAAATTATTATTATTATTATCTGTTATTATTTTTACGTTATTATTATTATCAGTATTATAAAAGTAAGAAGCATATGATACATAAGAGACATATGAGATTCATTGTGTAAATGTAAATGATATATAATGGTCATAATTATCATGATATCATTCCTGGGATTCATGTGAGTCGAGATATTTTATTATTATACCAGATATAATACCAGATATAATATAGCCAGATGTTATACCAGATATAAAACCAGATGTAATTTTAACCAGATGTTATACAAGATGTAAAAATAACCAGATGTTATACAAGATATTATATAATTGACAAGAAGAGAAGCACATAGAAGAAATATTAGAAGTAGTTGGGTAGGTAGATGAGAACATAGATAAATATATAAATAAATATAAACATAAATAAATAAATAAATATATAAATAAATAAGTAAATATAAATAAATAAATAAATTTATTTTCTAAAAAGGCGTGATTAGATATTTTGTAATTTAAAATAAATCTGAGAAAATTCCGGAATTCGAGATTCTTTATGTGATCGTTACGATTAGAAATTTATCAAATACGCGAATCGTAAAAATAAGAATAAGAATCAACAACAGTAATTGATGTAATTAACAGAGTTAACAACACAACAATGTATAACAAGAATTAACTATATCATTAACAAAATGCATAATAACAATTGTTAATTATTAAAAAACAATTAACAACATGCATAACAATTGTAACAATTGTGGAATAAACATAACAAGAACATAAAATTAACAAAATGTATAACAATTGTAATGAATTAATACTTAAAATAAAATAAGGATGACGTCCTTTTTCACCTTTCCAGCTTTTATTAATATAAACCTAAAAATATTTAATAATTCACATAGCATAGTATATTCTCTTTTTTCTTTATATCCGATTAATTAGTTTAAGAGCATATTTAATCAATCAATTATAAAAATTATTTACCCCCTTTTTTAATTTAATAAAATTAAAAATTATTTACCCCTTTTTTTAATTTGATAAAAAATTAAAAAAAAATTTTTTTACAAATAGAATTAACTTGAAATTGTTTATAGAATAAAATCTTTGATCTGATTTCCCAAATATTCTTCACACAATCTCTTAATATCTGCCCAATTCTCCAATAGCATTTAGAGATTATACATAGAGACTGATGGAATTGATTATCTCAAAAATTAATAAAATAAACTTTTGAAATATTCAAAATTATTAGAAATACATCAGTTCAAAAAGGAGTCAGTATTTTCCCAAATCAGAAATTTCCATGTACAAATATGACATGAAAGTTTTGTCCAATGAAATGAAATCAAAACTTAGAAAGAGTTGCTTGTGGTTAAAGGAGTTGTTGATTGGAATATAATACAATAAAATCTGTTAGGAAAGTGCTTGACCCGGGTTATCGATGTATTTGTATTGTAATTTTTTATGAAGTAAATGAAAAAAAAAAAGGAAATGAAAGGGTAATTAAATACTCAATTAAAAAAGAATATTATGATCCAGGGTTCATAAAAAAGAAATAATGATTAAAAAAAGTGATCATGCCATCCTCACGTGCCTTCATGCAGCTTCTTTTTTACCCAACAGCATATATCCAATATGCACTCCTTTGTTATGCCAGCCCAGTTTACATAACTGTAAGTTTTTTTTTTTTTGAAATTTAACAATTACATTGGAAAAAGTCTATGTCAAATATTTATGTTGTCAAATTTTGGGTAATAATTATAATGATCAGCAGGATTCTTCAGTTATTATTGCATTCGATTCGTGGTGCACATAACATTTCTCATCATCATCTTCTTCTTGTAAATATACATGTTATGTCATGTCTCCAAACAACTTTTTTTCACAAGTTGAAATGAAGAATGTGTGTGGTACTAAATTAGTTAATGAATTTCAAACCAATATTGTAATTAATTTTTATTTTTATATTTATAATAAATTTTTTTTGATGAATCTTATTATTTTTATGTGTTCTAAATGTTATACTTTGGTCTGAAAGAGAAACGACCTGCATACGCCTTCCTTTCTTGAAGGAGTGCCAATAACTGCAGAACCTTTTTTTTTTGGAAATAGAGATATAATTGCTACAAGAATGATGATGATATGGAAGAGGAGGAGGAGGAGGAGAAAAGGACCTGAGCAAAAAAGAAATTTAGAAGAAATTAATTTAAAATCAATCAAATATACTAATTATCCACTGGATTTGTTTCATTCTCAAAGGACAACCTTCTGCGAAACTATGATCATCCCCAAGTAGTACAAATAAATTTCTGTATATATTATTATTAGGTCAAATCTGTGATTGATTGAAAATTACAGTTTTGAAAAATACAATTAATTAGTGTAGTTTGATGATAAATTTGCTTTAAGGTTGTGGACAAAAAAGATCTTTACCTATTCAAGTTTTTTTAATAAGTAACAAGTTTTATAAGTAAATAAATAACGCTCCCAACCACCCAACATTCAACGCACACAACACGCCCTAACACAAAAACAAACGTAAACACTAAACAAACATACGAGTGCCACAAATATCAATAATTAAAAGTCTTTTTTTGCCCCTCCCCAAGGAGTATTAGTTTCTTTTGTGTCATCATCATCATCTTTTTCATATATTATCATATATTATCAATTTATTTATTTTATTTTATTTGTATTGATTGATTTATTTATTTATTTATATTTAATGCTATTATTATTATTATTATTATTACATATTTATATTTAATTAATTATTACTTTCATCTTTTTTTTTTTCTCATTTATTTTTGCACTGCCCATCTTTTTATAATACATACATCTTTTTTATACATCTTACATCTTTATTATGCAAACTGTAAATATATAAATATATAAATGTATAAATATATATAAATATATATTAATATACAAATTTGTATTTAAAAATATACAATATAAATAAAAAGTATAAATAAAAAATAAATAAATAAATAATTAAAAAATAATCTTCCAAATAATCCACAATCGTTTTTTTTTTTTAAAAAAAAATTTCATTCTTCTCTTCTCTTCTTCTCTATACTATTATTTACTTTTGACTATTGTTGTCACTTTGAACTTGTGTTCTAACTTTGATTATTACTTTGTGTTCTACTTTAACTATCGATTTTTATTACTACTATTACTACTTCTATTAATATTTTATTGAACTATTGACTTTTCTTCGAACCACACAATACTTCTTCTTTTCCAAAATATTTTTTTATAATAAATAAATATATAATAAATTTATATTTATATTTTTCTTTTTTTTTCGAAAAAAAAAAATACAAAAAAATGGATTATAATGCTATGCTAAAGACTTTGGGTACGTTTTTATTTATTTCTAACTTTTCATATCATATTCTCATTTTACATATTACACGTAATATATATTGAGACATATATACTTATTCACATATAATATTTATTATATTGATAGCCAAGGAGGCAGGTATTTCAATACCATCTAACGCTTTCGAAAAACCTAACGCTATTCGTACCTCAACTTCTAGTGGTGGTGGAAGTACCGTTAATAGCAAAAGTGGCGGAGGAGGAAATACAAATTCTGGTTATAGTGAAGGAATTAGTAAATGTAAAAAATGTGGTGAACCTCGTTCTACGATTGGTTGGTGTAAACCTTGTAATACAGCTCATCTAAAATCAAAATTTGGTACGTGGACTAGTGGAAATAAAGATTTAGATAAATTTATTGAAGATACTCAAATAAATGCGAGTACACCATTCGATTATATGAGATGGATTTCATTCGAAAGTTTTACCGATGTCGAATTTATTGCTCGAGGTGGATTCGGTTCGGTGTTTTCGGCGAAATCGGAAAATTTTGGAAAAGTGGCACTTAAATTTTTGGATAATTCCGAACAATTGAATAGAGATTTTCTTGATGAGGTAAATTATTAAATTATTTTACTTGTTATTTTATAAATAATATATATTAATTAAATATATTATATTAATAAAATAATATTTAATATATATATATTTAATAAATTCCAATAAAATTTAGCTTCAAGCTCATCATAGATGTAGTTTGGGATCAGGTATTATAGATTGTTACGGGGTTAGCAAAGATCCCGAAACAAATAGATACGTCATGGTGATGAGATACGCGGAACAAGGAGATTTGAGACGTTATTTATCTCAATTTTTCGCTGAATTATCGTGGGATGAAAAAATTGAAGTATTTGATAAAATCGTTAAAGGATTACAAGGAATTCATGATGCTGGTTTGGTTCATCGTGATTTTCATAGGTAATTATTTATTACTATACTATATATAAGTAATATATCTATTATTATCGTTAGTATCACTACTAGTATCGACAATTAATTAATTATTTTATTTTATTTTATTTTTATATTATAGTGGTAACATTTTACGACACGAAAAATTGGTTTATGTCACAGATTTAGGAATGTGTCGTCCCGTAAATGAATCTGAAACCAAAAATGTTTATGGAGTTTTACCTTACGTTGCTCCTGAAGTATTACGAGGTTTACCGTACCAACAAGCGGCGGATATATACAGTTTAGGAATGATAATGTGGGAAATGTCATCAAACGAACCACCATTCGCGGATAGAGCTCATGATTATAATTTAGCACGTGACATTTGTAATGGATTGAGACCTCCCATTATTGTGGGAACCCCTAAAGGTTACGTCGCGGCCATGTTAAAATGTTGGGATTCCGATCCTACCAAACGACCTACCATCACAGATCTATTAAGTGTTTCTTATAAATGGAGATATTTGGCAGATGGCAAAGCCCCTTTCCAAGGTCCCAAACTTAAGAAAGTAAAAACTGGTTGTGTCTCAAATGGTGATGGTAGTAATAATAATAATAATTCTTCACCAACATCGACGAATTCAAGACCAACGACGACAAGAAGTTCAATAATATCGAGAACTTTCTCAACTTCATTATCATCCATAATTTCAACATCAACCTCATTAATAAATCAAAATATAACAAAATCACCAACCAGCACTACATCATTAATATCATCCAGATCAAATAATAATTCAATACACCCTCACGCATTTTACACCAGTCGATTATTACATTATCCGAATTTACCCGAACCAAAGAATTCTGATACTTATACTCTTTTCGACCCTACCACCGGTGAATTACATACCATGATTAGAAAACAATGTATGTTCAAATGATATTTTATTATGATATTTTTATTTGTTTATTTATTCATTTATTTATGATATTTTATTTTATTTATTTATTTATTTATTTATTTATTTTTTTATTTATT